GTAATAAACAGAAAATTCAATGTTTTGTAGATGAATATATATAATTTCTTTCAAAATTAACGAAGACCGATTAAGCCTTTCCTGAGCTTTACTCACCAGAACACTGAACACTGATACATTAAAAAATAAACTGAGCATATCCAAAAAGCCAGATCCAAAAGTCTTATATATAAGACATATTTATATTTATATTTTTACAAATATGTAACAGCTGTTTAATTATTCTTCATTAATTGATAGTTGCATTATGCAAGACCTTACTGAATTGCAGGTTGAAACTGTACAATTTGGATCTGTCTTCTTTTAATGTAAGCCTATGCATGTTAACCGAACAAAAAAATTTCTTTGAACAATTAACGAAGACTGGTTAAGCCTTTCCCTGAGCTTTACTCATGAGAACACTGAACACTAATACGTTAAAAAATAAACTGAGTAGATCCAATTTTTTTTACCTTGAATTTGAGATTACTATAAAGTAGCAAATTTTTAACGAATAACCGACTAAAAAAAATTTAGTCGATAGTCAGAATGATCAAAGGATCAGGGATGGGGTAATCGTAATCGAGTAATCGTAATCGATTGTAATGATTACTTTTTTCCAAGTAATCGACAGTAATCTGTAAACGAAGAGATTTTCGATTACTTGTAATCGTAATTTAATCGATTACAGCTAAAATTTTCAATGTAATTATAATTACTTTTTCGATTACTTTCGATTATTTTATACATAAATGGATGTTATTTTCGGGAATTATTTCTAGTCAGTCACACATAAATATCAAATCTAAACCACCTAGTGTAATGTTTGGATTTTCCTAACTTTTATTATCATAAGTTTAATAATGTTCTCAATAAATTTTGCGTTATAGACCTACTGGTCTAGTATTAAATAATTCAGAAGTGTATTTCAACCATTTATTAATAAAATATACAGATTCTTTGTGTGCAATTTACATTTGACCCATCCTCTTGCTGCATGTCCTCGAAACTACATTGTACTCGAAAAAAAGAAGATGGAAATACTTATTCATATCTGAAAAATGTCTAAACAACTTCAAACTTGTGTTTTAGTAACTTTAAAATTTGCAAAATCATTCTCATGTTTTCATTGAAAATTGTAAGGTTGCTTTTATATTAGTGAGAGGTTACAAGTGTCTGTAAGAGAGGGAGTGTGTCACTGTGTTTGCTTATCTTAATTGGCTAATTAATTGACTGAGACATCTTTGATTTGCAGATAATGAGGTGTAAACCGTGAACTACCTAGTGTTTAACTTTTATTCCAATGAAGACATTAACAATATTATTAAAACAATTAATAGCTCTCAAAACACTTATTTCAATACAGAATGACATTGCGCTATTTGTTTCATTACTTAAAGACACATTTAATTTACATGTTTATTACTAAGAGTTCTAATTTACTTCTTTTTTTTTTTTTTGAAAAAGACACGCACAGGAATGTTTAAATTGTACTGTCAACATACGGGCAGCCCAAATCCTTCTATGAAGTAATTCACAATAAAATATTAAATAATTTTTGCAACAAGTCAATAAATATGGAGGTTCAGATCCAAGATTGAAAGGAATAATTAATTCCTAGGCATATTTTATTGTAGGAATCATGTCTCCACTTTTCATGGTAGAGAATCCCTTATTTGGGCATTTAGTGAGAATGTTAGCCTGCCCAGAATAAAACCTAAAAAGGAGCACATTCAAACTTCAGTGGATAACATTTACCATTTAAATATTGCTTTGATATTTGAAGGGATAAAAACTTGGAAGTAATCGATTATTAATCGATTACATCTTCCAAAGTAATCGATTAATAATCGATTACACAAAATTCCTCAAAGTAATCGATTACATTTTTCAGTAATCGTACCCATCCCTGCAAAGGATAGTCGAGTACTCGAATATTTGTTGACATCCCTAATATATATATATATATATATATATATATATATATATATATATATATATATATATATATATATATATATATATATATATATATATATACATTCACATATGAACAGATACATACAAACATATACATTACTCAATGACATATACAATCATATATTTGTATGATTGAATTTGTATTCAATAAAAATTACACCTCAACATTTATGTACATTACATTACTTGAAATGCATTTTCAAAGCAGATGAGTTTGTGGCTCTAGATTATATACGTAGGAGTGGAAAGTATATATTTTGTTGGCCTGGCTGCATAGGGTACAAAAGGATGATGCTTATTGAGCAGTCTGGCAGTATGTATTTCAGAAGAACCAAACTTACTTGGTTTTGTATCCCAAGTAACCAAGACAGCTTACAGGAGGAAAACTTAACTTGTTGGCCTGACTACTTGGGGTACCAAGGGATGATGCATATTGAACAGTCTGGTGTTATGGACTGTGAGTCTTGTACCCCAAGTAGTCAAGACAGCATACGAGTATAAAAGGTCCAATATAATTTGAAATGTAATGCATAAAGATACTATTCTTCATATTCCATTGTTCTGAATCATTTTACAGATTTGAGTAAGAATGTCAACATTTTTATTGGTACATGTAATTAGATATATATCAAAGTATGTTTATGTAAAAAAAATCAAAATTGTTTGTTCCTAGCACTTCACTGTAAGAATTTTACTGTACTAGTGCTATAAATTCTAGGGTCAGTTGGCTTTTTGTTTCAAGCAATTCAATCAGTTGTTCCTACAGGGTCTGATACCCCCATGGTTGTATAATAAATATCAAAGTGTGTTAAATTTCAAAAGCTGTACTGAGAAAAGTTTCCACTAATGTACAGTATATCATATGTGATAAGCTGAGAATGAGCTAAATCCTGTCTTTCCCTGAGTCAATGAAGTGTGAAAATTAGCTCAGATATGCTTATCTTGATTTACATGCATTAGGCAATGACATTAAACCAGAAGTCTCTGACAAGACTGTAGCTCTACTGTTTTTTTTACTTAACAAAGGTGGAGGAAAGTAGCACTTCGATTGATACTATATCAACAGCAATAAACAAGTGGAAAAGCTGAGAATGTGACAGCACTAGTATTTTTCTAGAAAATTATAAACCTTCTATGAATTTTACACTTTTTATACCAATGACCTTGAACTTGCTGGAATGACCTGGTCATGGTCATGACACACCCTCAGGTCATAAACAGTCTTTATACCAAGTATGAGCTTCCAATGATTCTGTAACACAAAGTTATAGCCAGGTCAAGAATTTTATACTTTTCTTCCAGTGATCTTGAACTTGCAGGAATGACCTTTGGTCAAGGCCAAGACAAACTCAAAGGTCATTAGCAATCTTCATACTAAAAATAATAAAAATAATGTGTTTAAAATGTGCCATGATTTTTTTTTGACTAAATCTTAATTATCTCCCCTTGAAAGAAGGTTGGCCCCTTATTTGAACAAATTTAAATCCCCTTCACCCAAGGAGACCCTTTGCCAAGTTTGGTTGAAATTAGCCCTTCGGTTTAGAGAAGAAGATGAAATTGTGAAAGGTTTATTACAACAACAGACAAGGGACAAATTTCGATCAGAAAAGCTCTCTTGAGCCTTTTGCTCAGATGAGCTTAAAAAAACAATCAATCAAAAGAATAAGCAGTAGAAGGGTTAAGTGGTATACAAATGTCACGGCTGCACAGATGACACAAAAACAAGAGGCTCATGGTCCACAATGCTCATCTGAGTAATTTTCTTTTCAGCAGATTCTTTTTCCTATTTACTCCTATGTAAAATTTTGATCCCCCATTGTAGACCCACCCTACCCCAGGGGGTCATGTTATCAACAGAGTTGAATTACACTACCTGAAGATGCTTCCATATAAATGTAATTTGTCATTGGTTTACTGTTCTAGAGAAGAAGATTTTTAAAGACTTTTGCTATGTATTCCTTTGTAAGACTTTGACTGCCCATTATGGCCCCACCCTACCCCCAGGGGTCATGATTTGGACAAAACTGAATCTATACTACCTAAGAATGCTTTCATATAAATATGACTAATCATGACTTATCTGTTCTTGAGAAGATTTTAAAAAATTTTCCTATTTAAAACCATATTAAAATTTGATCACCCATAGTGGCCCCACCCTAGCCCCTGGGGTCATATTGGAATAAATTCAAATCTACAATATGTCATTAATTTTTCATATAAGTTTCATCTTTTCTGTCCCAGTGGTTCTTAAGAAGAAGATTTTTAAATGACCCCTTCCAATTGTTACTATTTCTTAATTATCTCCCCTTATAAGAAGGTGTGGCCCTTCATTTGAACAAACTTGAATCCCCTTTACCCAAGAATACTCTGTCTAAGTTTGGTTCAAATTAATATTGGTCCAGTGGTTCTGGAGAAGAAGATGAAATTGTAAAAAGTTTATGACGATGATGCCAACGACAACAGACATACACAAAAGAGATACATTGTGCAAAAGATAACAGTACGAGGTTACTTTCGGTAGTTAAGTCTATTAAGGGGTGCATTTGTCCAAATGATTTTCTGTACGTTCTTTCATACTGCAGTAGTAGGTTCACATTTTTATTACCGAGTAGGGTGAATTTCAGTATGGGGTTCCTCATATCTATACTTACTATGAACATTTCCACAACATGTCTGAAAATCCTTGTGGTGTTAAGTCTATATTTAGTTTTTTTAACCTCACAGTCATATCAAGCATAAATAAATCCTGTTATTGAGGGGTTAACCCCTCAATACAAAAATAACCACAGTCATATCAAGCATAAATAAATCCTGTTATTGAGGGATTAACCCCACAATACAAAAATAACCCCAGAATACATGTACTGGAAAATATGCACAATTAACCTTACAGTAGATCTCTGGTAAGAACAACAATGCCAAAGACGATAGACAACGGACAGATTTTGATCAAAAAAGCTCACTTGAGCCTTCGCCTCAGGTGAGCTAAAAAGGAAATCTGCTTTGTCATACAAGAAATGTTAAAACTGAATTTTACTTACTTATATTGCATGCAGCACTGGAAATAGAACCTGTGGTGAGTGTTGTTTTGCCATCAGGACACTTGGTACAGGGCTCACTGTTGCCAACTGCAGACTTGTAATACCCTAGTGCACACTTCCCACAAGTTTTAACAGTAGAATTAAATTCCTCCCCTGGTTGGCAAATGGCTACAACAAATACAAGATAAGTATATTACATGTACAAATTTCAATCTCAAAATCGATTTGCTATGAAGTCTCACAACTTCTCAGTTATGACATCACAGCCATCGATCATGACTGCATAACTAATAGACCAGTAATAAACAATGGAGCAAAGTACTCACAGTACTGTAAGCCAATTTAAACAAATTAATAAAAGAATACTAGTAAAGATAATGGCTTCTGTGATATCTTATTTGAAGAAAAAAATATATTTCAAAAAATTGACGTAAATGATATATCAAATTTATTTTTGGGCCATATATCAAGGTTTGAATTAATCAGGGTCAGAGTTAACCTGGCACAGCTGAAGATAAACAAATGGATTATCCTGGTTTCCAACCCCTGTTTTTCCCTATCTTTGTACACAACCAGGCTACAACAACACTGACTATTAAAAAACTTAACACATATGAAATAAACTGTTTTACAAAACACTGAAATTTCAAAATCATTTCTATTGATGTTTTGACTTGCACATGCTGGAAATACAGTCCCTGAAACATTCTACTTTCCAATTTTTACGTTTGCTCACCGTTCGTTCAGCATTCGTTCACCGTGCGTTCTCCGTTCACAGTTTTGCGTTCTGCGTTCACATAGCGTTCAGCGTTCGCTCTCCGTTCATTCACCTTGCATTTAGCGTTCACTTATCGTTCAGTCTTCAGTGTCATTCAGAACTCCGAAGTGAAAGGACTTATCTTTTTGTAACTAAGGATTTACGGGTTTTTAAATTTAATAATTAACATATCGTGTATTTAAAGAATCGTTATCTCATTGGAAAAAATATCCACAATATTCTAACATTATTAAGGTCTTCCGTCTTCACGGAAGACCTTATAGTGATTCTACTGTTTCTTCTTCTTCTTATTATTTTTCCGCCCATCTGATTTTGTGCACGCGATTTCTCGACGACTACTGGAAGGATTAACATGAAATTTGCAGGAACAATGTGTTGTAAACTGAAGTTATTTTATCCGAGAGAAAATTTGGAAATTTACTTCCGGTGCCAAGTTACAAACCATTTTCTGAATTTAAAAATGACATTTTGTCTGCGGATAATCTCAAGAACGTTTAAAGATTTTAATGTGAAACTTTCAGGGATTATAGATCATGATAAATACTAGCCGGGACATGACCTTTCGTTCGTCGTCGGTACTTCCGGTCGTTACCGGATGCGAATTTAAAAAGTTGAATTTTCTAACTTTTTTGTTTTTCAATATTTTTCTTTGATATTAGTAGGGTTAACAGATGCATTTCCAAGAAGGCTTAATATATAATTTGTTTAAAAATTGATAAATCCAAACTCTAGATATTCGCATTTTAAAATTTGAAGCGGGTCCAAAATGGAGTCTGTCTCCGTAAACTTCGACGAGCAGGTCGCACTCGGAGCTCCTCGGGTGGCTGGTACCTCGCACACTAACCTACAAAGTCAACAGTGTTCTATTATTTCGGGTTTAATCCCGATTATGTCTGAATTTTCTTTCTCATTTTTTACCTTTGATTTACATTTTCATCTTTATAAATGATGTTTTTTTTCTGTGTGAATCCTGTGCTATTTTCATTTGTTTTAAATACATGTAAATCCTTAAAAATCCTTGCATTTTTTAAGGATCCATGTTATATTTCACGGACATTGGCATGTCAAAGTTATCCTGAGAAAAAAAGGTTAAATACATGGGTTCTTTCACTTAGGAGATAGTGATTGAGAGTGATCTCCCGTGTAGAATTCTCTAAGCGGTGAAAACCAATAAAGCATATGTTTACAGAGGTAAACAAAAAGCATGTGTACTTCCTTCAACGGGTAGAATCATCTATACAGCAAGAAAGAAAAGTAATAATGGCTTTGTTGTACATTGTATTCAGGAGACAAAGAGCCAACAGGTCGTCATTTACCATAGCTGGGAAAGGCAAAGATGTGACATATGCTGAAAGGTAGACCAACTGAGATCAGTTTCTAGGTTGTATGAAGGAAGCAGCATTTAGTAACTACGAATAAAAATTGAAATAAATCCATGCCAATATTTTTTATGACAATGTGTTTCAATCAATTCAGTCAATTACATGATAAAATCAATCAACCAGTCTGACTCTCTTGACCCTTATGAATAATATGTAATTATAGCTGTTAAGGGAAGTAACTCAAAAATAGAGATCGGTGCCGGTATGTCCTTGTCTTGTTTCTATATTTACATTTTCAGCTAAAATATCTAGACATCATAGGAAATGAAAATACAATAATGTATATAAAACAAAAACCATATGAAATAAGTGAGTTTTGGAGAAATATTATGGTGCAAAACTATGTAGGTCCCTTTTATCAACATTTTACATAGGAAATGCATTGAGAATTGCAAAAACACTGATTTGACAAAAATCTAAAAAAAAAAAAAAAAAAAAAAAAAAAGAAAAAAAAAGAAGGTTGGCTTGGTAGGTTAAACAATCCAGAATATAGCCTGTTTATTAAAATCAAAACTACTCAAGAGTTCTTGAAAAATTCTATACGAGAAGTTGTCTGAGCAAGAACTCGAAAACGGTTAGAGATTAATACACCAAACTTATATGAGCAACAGTCCTTAAGATGTAGGCAAAACCATTTTGGTTCAAAGCGTCAGCCGTCACTTCCAGTCGTCACAGGAAGTGATAAAAGAAATAAAAAATTTCAATTTTCTTTTTTTAATTGAAAATTATATCACTTTATTGCATCTTTTTTGCAAGTTCGAAAGATGTTGGTCCCACCGGAAACAAATACGACAACTTCCGGTTATAAGAGAAAAACTAAATAATTTGGGTATTTTACTTTCCCATAAATATTCTTTATAGATAAAGTATTTGAAATAAATTTTAAATAAGTTATTCAGAATGCAAATGTCTAGAGTAACCTTGAAAACATCAACTTCCAGTTTAAGGAGATAGCACGTTGGATTTTCACGCTGACGACCAGGGTTAAATTTCCAGAGTGTCTGAATTTCTTTTATCACTTTTTCAGCTTGAATTTACTTTTTTATTTTCAGAATCAGACGGAAGACCTCTCATTGCTCGCAATGAGTTTCTTTTTTATTATTATTATTATTCTAACTTTGCTGTAAGTTTATTTATAAATCTACTCTGGGAAATAAATGTTGTTATAAGTATGTAAATACATGTATGTAGAACGATGCTGAAAAATTTAATTGAAATACGGGCAATATATAGATACTTCAAGCACTGCAACATTTTGTTGTTATGTTATAGGTGACAAATCGTTAATGGAGAGATAATTATCTAAGTTAATCAAGTTACAAACTGCAGCAAAATTACGAAAATATTTATTTCTAACACTGCAGCAAAATAATGAAAATATTTATTTCTATTTAAACACATTTTTTCCAGTTCCTGCAGAAATACATGATAGAACTAGTTCTGAGAATTATACATAGTACTTCGGATATCTTGTTATCAAATATCTTTGGAGCGAATTAAATTGATAGTGTGGTTATAAAAAATATTTATTTTAAATGTAATACACTACAGATTTTCTCTACTATAATAATATAAAGTCTATAGTTATAGAGAAAATAAATTCTTCCTTCACTGTAACTTTATGTGTTTGCCATTTGATATGATTAAGAGCCCCCCCCCCCCTTTTCCTCCTAAATCAGTCAGTATTTCCAGTATATTGTATAAACATTTAAAAAGGAGTTAATGTGTTTTGTAGCACAAAAATTTCAGTCTCAAAAAAAAACATGTATCTAACTAGTAGACTAATTGTTCTCGAACAATTAGAGGTCTTTCCACCTTCTTTAAATTTCATACATTTTTCATATTTAACTCTCTAAAGTTAATTTTTATACAAAAAGAATCCATAAATGGCTTGAAAGACAGAAAAAATGAAAATTGTAAAAATTTTGAAATGACCTTGACCTTTGACCTTGAACAAATATTTAAGGTCAAAGGTCAAGGGTCACATTGTACTTGACCCCATGCTTCTACGACTTTTAGTTTTAAAGTTATAAGGTTTAATAGTAAGGGCAAAGACGTTAAAGGGCGATAACTCATATAAGGGATCATCGGATCCTCTCGCACTGAATAGATTGAAGTTGTGTTTAAAGGCCCTGAGGACATTAGTGAAGGTTTCGTGTCTCTGCGGTTTACAGTTTCGGAGTAGTAGCGATGACAAGGTTTTCAGTGAAAGGGGCAATAACTTTTAAAAGGGTAAATCTTAGGGGACAAGTATGACATCTTTGAAATAGTTTTAAGAGGACATATTAAAGATGCAAAGAGATTTAGTATATAATGAAAGACAAAAGAGATATAAAAAGAGCTTAATTTCTCAAATTTTGAATGACCTTGACCTTTGACCTTTACAAAAATTTCAAGGTCTGATTTCAAGGAATCTAATGCAATTGGTTCCATGTCTCTACGACTTATCGTTTTGAAAATTTTTCATTATTTGTAAACTTCAAAAACTTTCAGGGGCAATAACTCATTGACGGGGTCGACAAATCATTTCGCAATGAATAAATTGAAAAGTAATCACAAGTAGTCAAAGACATTGGTGAAGGTTCTGTATCTCTACGATTTACGGTTTCGAAGGAGTAGCGATAACAAGCTATTCTTGCGAAAGGGGCAATAACTTCGTAAGAGGTCATAGGTCAAACACGTTGGGTCGTTTTTAGGAATAACTTTTAATATCCAGTATCATGAACTATAAAGTTTTTTGATAAGTCTTGCAGTTTCAAAAGTCCGGGAAGAAAAAGAATAATAATAATAATAATAACTAGTAGACTAATTGTTCTCGAACAATTAGAGGTCTTTCCACCTTCTTTAAATATCATATATTTTTCATATTTAACTCTCTATTGTTTATTTTTATACAAAAGAAACAAGAAATGGCTTGAGAGATGGAAAAAATGAAATTTAAAAAAAAATTTAAATGACCTTGACCTTTGACCTTGAACAATTATTTAAGTTCATAAGTCAAGGGTCAC